ATTTTTATTATCTCTAGCTCTTTTGTGCTTCGGAAGGCATGTTAAGCAGTAGGTTTACACCTCCCGAGCACCCCACCTCGTGATGGGTTGTTTTCCTTAATTGATTTCATCCATCCGAAAAGCTTGTGCTCCTGTAGTGAGGATATTTATATGATATAATTATCATATAAATGTCCGTATTAGATTATCAACTTTCTGCACAGAAACAAATCTCCGACTACTTTGTTCTCTTTGCTGAACTCTTCAAATACTCCTTCTTATCTCGTCACATTTTCAGTACTTATATACCAGAAATCTTTCTTTCTTTTTTTATTCCTTCTCAAATCGTCTGCTCGTGTATGTCTATCTCACCACTCCGATATCATCCACTCTTCGTTCTTTGCCAAACCAATCGCATCGCATCGAAGGTGCATTATTTTAGAAGAGTAATTTCTGCTTCAGATGTTATATTTAAAGCAAAGGGATTGCCACGCATATACACGTTTGTATCACATCATCTATTTTTTGTGCTGTCAAGGTCGAGAGCAAAGGGATCCTAGCTCATAAGGTCTTTTTTTTTCCTCACTGTTAGCATACGTATGAATGTATTTATTCTTTGTTCTATAGTTGATTTAAAATAAATGTAACTACTTAAAATCGTTGTTTCTTTCCATTTTTTTTCATTTTTTGACAAAAATTCTTAGTCCGTGTTGTTACTACAGATTTCAGCAAAATACCAGTGCAATGGGCAATACTCATTGGACACACTAAAACAGGTTTTGACAGCCCACAACATTACACTTTTAATTTCTGTTTGTACCTAATTGTTGTCTTCTTTGTTTTATACTGTGTTGTGTTGTGTGTTGAAACTAAAAGCGTATTAATATTATTGTATTATAGAATGAACTCTCGTTAGAGATCAGAATGTCCACCAGTAAATTTGTAATTAAAAACAAGCTGCGTAGTTTTCTTTTGGAACAGGAAAATCCGTTAAATCTTTAATCATATAGGTATATGTTTAAGAACGCATATATGTATATTAAATTATTTTGTTTGTGTGGTATCTGTACATACATAGTTGTGCTGTGATGTGATCTGGTTGACTGGTAAAAAATGCCTACGGTATTGAATTCATTATTGCACGTTGTGTATAAAGGTAAATAAAACAACTAACCCAATATCTATGTGTTTTGTTTATTTATTCCTCTAAGAACTGACTATTTGAAATATGAATTGGAATATAAATTTTAAACTTTAAATTCTATCAAAGCGTTCTTGTTAATTCTGGTCCACGTTATTAATGTCATTATGTCGACATTCAAATCCGGGTACAATCGTGAGAATCACGTTTGTGACTAGCCCATCTCTAAACATACAAATCCTACTGACTTATTTTGGATTTTAAAGTTTAATTCCGAGCATGTTTTGGATTTATCAAATATTTTATTTTCTTATACATAGACATAAATCTTGATTATACTTATATATATAAATTAGTTTTACGTCAGCGGCTTTGCTCGCGTGATTTGTTTCTACACATATAAATCTTCCGATTGAATCACCTGTATATTGACGAAACCGTATTAAAAATCGTTAAGTAGTTTAAAAGATCTCAACTTACAAACAGCGTGAAGCATCTATATTTCTTAATTTGTATAGATATCAATGTAAAATAGTTTATAATCATGAAATTAATGATAACACTATTATGTACTCATTTAAAAATGTTTCTGTTACATTATTCAGAAATTGTGATAGCAAATCATACAGACAAGCCGAGTGTCTTACTTACATTTATAATTTTACTTAATAATTAAAGACTGCTAATGTAAAGTGAGCACAACATGCTACTACGAATAATATATTATAAATACGAATGTTTGTGAAGATGTATGTACGTTTCTTGGTCTTTCACGCAAAAACTAATGAATAGATTTTGATGATATTTGGTGCGCGGATAATCCTAAGCCTGAATTAATATATAGGGCACTTTTTATACCACTAAAGGGTTCTCCAGAGACCACGTATGCGAAGCCGCTGGCGGAAATCAATTTAGTAATAAATGGGCACACGATACGAGTATATATTTGGCTTAAGCTGATACCTTTTGTTCATAAGGTATACAAAGCAGCTTATAAGGTTACTACTAAAGGTAAAACATATTTTATTCTGGAATTTCGACTTTTGTAGTTACCTGCAGTTTTATTCTATCATAATTATAGTCCCCGAGTCGACGTCGAGCACAGCGCTGTCCCGTCATAGAAGTTTAATCAAATAAAACCTATTTCAAAAGGTAATAAAGGTTTTATATAATAACTAGTTTTTGTCCGCGACTTCGACCGCGTGTTTTTGGGCAGCATTTATTTTCCAAAAACAATATGAACAATATGAATATATTATTTCTTTCGTAAACAAAATTACTTGAATTTGAACATTTTTATTAATTAAAATTTCAAAAATGTAATATTTACTCAAATACCAATTTTCATCGCTATACAATAAAACATTTTGTAAATAATATTAGGTAAATTTATTACATTGACAAATCAGATTGTAAACAATGGTTGCTATGGTAACATTCTGATCCCCATTAAATCTTTCACTCCAATTTTTATCCCTTTTAAGGCTAGTTTTCAGGATAAATATAACCTATTACCTTCCCAGGGTTATAAATTACAGAAATACAAATTTTCATCGACATAGGTCCATAAACAAAGAAGTTTCATACAAACTTTTTCACCCTTTTCTGACACTCCTTTGGGATGGAATTTCCAAAAATCCGTTCTTAGTACACCTCTACGTATTAAGGGGAATGTTCCCTCCGAATTTCAAGTTTCTACGACCAGTGGTTTAGGCTGTGCGTTGTCTGTCAGTCAGTAAGTCAGGACATCTTCTTTTATATATGTATAGATTAATGTTATGATTTTATAGGTCTATTACCTATACTAATACTATCTATAAAGAGGTAAACTTTCCAACTTTGTTTGTTTGTAGTAGCTAATCTTCGGAAAACTGATCCGACTGCATCATAGTGTAGCTTCCCATATGTGAAATAATTTGCCGGGTGCTATAGGATATAATTAACGCAGGTGAAATTCCGGGATCACAACTAATAACAGATATATAAATCATTTTCCGATCGTATGTGGGAAACGTAAGTAAACTAACCGTAAAAATATGTACTCATTTCATAGGCCATACTTATTGCTGTGAACTTTTGAGTAAGATAATAAAATATTATCTTCTCGTCTTTCCTGACAGTGCATCGCTTTTAAATGGTACTTACATCGTATAAATGAACTGCGCATTGCGGAGGCGACTGCCTGGATTTTTAGGAATTTGAAAGCTGAATTTGCAATTGTATTTAACTAAATTCTGAATTTTCGTAACGAGAACACGAATGAGGTAATGCCGCCTGAGAAGGCTGTTTATAAAAACACAAGTGCTAAAAAACAACAAATATATAGAATAAGGATGATGTCTGGGTAAAAAAAAAAAATATTTAGACCGTCGTCAGTCATTAAAAAATATGTATTTTTGTTTTGTTACAAATTAACAAGAAATGCCTTAGACAATCAAAGAGGGGTCACTGTGTCACAAATAGAAAAATCTACAAAGGTATGATATCATGTGACATTTGAACACAATGTATTGTCGTAATTAGAAGAAGAAGATCTCTATTTAATTATATATTTATTGTTTTTTTTTCACCATCCTACTGTCCTATAATCATAAAGTTCAAGTAGACAGTATGATTGCAATTGAACATATTCCGAGTGGTGTTTAGCACTCAAGCCTTTAAAAAAATTCTTCATCAAAATCATTACCTTACTAGGAATACTGAGGATGTGATAAAAGAGGTCTTTCGCAAAATACTTAAAAAGAAGTATGATTAGTTTATTTTTTTTTATGCGTACATAGAGTTCGAATTCACTCAGTTGTCAAAAGCGGCATCCGCTCAATCTTCAATTGGTAATGACGTTACGTGGCATAAGTGAAATAACTTTCAAAATTTTATAGGAATAGAATATCTGAGACACGTATATTCAATCAATTTTGTTTTGTGTTATTATATAAAAAAATGGAATCAATAGAATTTTTAAATCGAATGACGTGAATTCAGACACATGAGTGAATACGAATTCGGGTCTGGATTTTTACAGAATCGCAGGGATGGTAATATTTCTAGTAACCGATTTCAAGGTTATTTTTCACAATTAACGTATTTCGAAAGTTATACCTAGCCCTACGATAAGTAAATGCTGTTACGTATTGTATTTATTAACAAAATAAATAAGCGTGTTTTAAATATACGCACTAAACATATAATAGTAGGTGTAATAAACCATTGGCCGAATTTGGTTTTAACACATAAATGAATGTCAAATATTCAAAGACCCCCAAAGTAGAAGCAAAGAAAATGATTGTGGTTTTGACAAACAACCTCTAAACAGCTTGACCTATCTCTGGGAACATATTTGAGTAGTAGCGGCAGCCTGGAAACCGTTGTTGTACCAAATTAGGGACAAATCCGGGCAGACACGGCTCCGATCACGTTCTTACCATGTGAACCCGAGCTTGTAAACCCTTCCGAATTTAATAGGCGGTATTAAGTTGACGGACGTCTAATATTAAATGCTATTTAAGTCGTTCTATCTATCCCTACAGGGTCTATATAGTGTTTGATGAAAATTCATTTATCATCCCGAAACACTTTGTCTTGTTGCAATCATGAATCTTGCTATATTAATAATTCAACAAATATTTGGTCGCGTCGTATTCGTTGCTGTAAGTAAATATATTTTTTCGAATAATACTTATTCGTATATTTCAAAAAGACTTTTAAAAGTGTATAACCACCGGAATAGGAGGCATCTGTTGTGAATATTAAATATTTAATATTCTTTTTAAAACTGTTAATGTTTACTAGCTTTTAAGCAAAATAATATTTAATATATCCAGACACGTATATTTGAGAGTATGGAAGAAAAGGTGGAAACTTTAAATAAATGCAATTGTTCAAATACAATTCTTTATTTAAAATGAATTGAAACATCCATTTTATACAGATACATTCATAATGCTATTAAAACGTAATATATAATTTATGACACTTACAGCCAGTTGCACAAACGACTATTAAAATTTTCTTTAGTTTAAAATGACATTATCCATACAAATATGACATTCAATAGAGCTTGAAGGAGTCATTAAACCGTAATGGACGTTTGTGCAAGTGACCGATAATTACAAACGAGATCAGCCTGAAATTTTTTTTTTTTGGTTCTATACCCAGAAATAGTTATTTCTGTTGATTTCCAAAAAAAAAAACAGACAGCATTTATTTGCTTAATCACTAATTGTTCCTCGTTTACAATTTGAAACTTAATTAACAATACATTGTTTACTATTTACATTCACTCTATTAATTATAACCCTTTAGTCACTATAGATTTCAATTAAGATCATTCTAGATTCTGATTTAATTCATTGAAATTATAGGCAAATAATTTTCTAACAAACTTTGAAATGGATATTTAATTTAAAAATAATACACTAAACTTTGGCCTCAATTCTGTTACATACTTTTAAATCTTAATTTTTAGTAGGTACTGGTTTAATTTAGCGTTGGAAAAGAAATAATAATAAGAAACAAATCTTTAGAATTTAGTTTAAAAATTCGACCTTAGTTTAATATCATTTTAAAACCAATACAACTTAAGTAAATTAAGTGCAAAATGTACAATTTAGTTCAATTTACATGTTACAATAGAAGTATATGTAATTTACATTGTTACATATACTTCTATTGTATTGTTGTTCATTTCGGATAAAAGTAATTGGAAAGCAGACTGAACATTATTTTAATAAGCGTCAGTTTAAGATATTTCAGTTACAATTTGAATGAATAATATTTAGATAAAACTTTTCCAGAAATATTGAATTCACCCATCCATTTTAACCTAAAACGTGGTATGAACGAAATCATTGAAACCAGATTTCATTGTCTAAAATGATTAAAAATGGTTTTTCAGGTGTCTCTACTGAATTAATATTTAGAAAGTGTGCAACGGAATCTATTACTTTGTTTGTCTAAAGAAATTGTAAAATTTAACTACTTTTGTATAAATAATTTATTTACAACTGGGTAAGCTAAAATGTAACATGCACCTCAAGTAGGTCGCTAGCAATATCACAAATGCCTTTAGAGCTAAACATTTTCTTAAACATTATGTTAAATTAGTTGAAGCACAATTTTTTTATTCTAAAAATAGTTTTCTAGTCGCACTAGATAAATATAAAAATCGATTGAATATTATACACAATTTATACAACTTCGACGATTTTCTAGATTAATAATCCCGGTAAAAGTTATCCTCCACCGTATTGTTCTTTTAAATTAAAAATCAGTACGTCTAAAAACATATGTTATTTCAAGACTAAACTTTTTATTTTCTAGAGTACAAAGTTTAAAATCAAATTAATGTTCTAAATTTAAATACTTTAGTTAAACTGAGGTATCACTATAAATGGCTATAATTAATCAGCACATTCTTAATATGCATACACCCAGTTGCACAATCGTCTATTAAAATTGTCATTAGTTTGAAGCGACGTTATCAATACAAATTTTCAAAATAAGAACATTCATTAGAGCTTAAAATCGTCATTAAACCTTAATACATGTTTGTACATGCTGTTAACCGTGTATGAAAATTTAGCTATAATTACAATGGTAAGTGAAGTCTTCTTCCAGTTCAATAAAAGTAAATTAGCTATAGTTAAATTAACAAAAGTACAAATGTTACTAAAACTGTAAGTTTAAAGAAAGATGAAGTAACTAAGGGAGCAGTGTCACCCGCTGCAGCGAGTGCGCTCGCTGCCGCCTCAACACATTGTCGATACGCGAGATGCTCGAGGCACGTTATAGCACAGAAGTGTTGATGCGCGCAAGCACCGTCACAGTTTTCTGAACTGTCATGTCTCACGCTGTAGGCTCTGAGGTATCTGTTGGAAAATAGCAATGTGTTAACCTAAGCTTTAGAAGCAACAACTTTGTGGATTTAGAAAATAAACAATAGTTCCCGGGACACATTTCTTATGATTAGGCCTTGCCTAAGCAATTAGATAATGTAATTTTATTCATGTGTTAATTATGAATTTGGTTTACTGTTAAAAATATAACGCTGTTATTTATTAACGAATATTTTTATCATTCAAAAATATAAAGACAAAATAAAATAAATGATAGTCGATTTAAGTAACAATCAATGAACTCTAGTAAGAAACGTTTCCTCTATTAGTAGATATAGATTTTTCCTACACCCAAATGTCACTTTTCTCAAGTGCGTGATAAGTGTGATGAGTGCGTGAGTGTAATATGCCACTAAAAAGGATTTATTGGCTTAATTAACTTTTACACAATCTTACTTGTAAAACACCGTAGTCTCTTGAGGAGTTCCTATTCGAAGCTTATCTGCTAGATTGTGGAGTGAACTTGCTGAAATTTCATGCAAGCCGTAATACTGTGTGAGGTTATACTCAGCCGTCCACTCCGCTCCACCTGCGTTCCTGTTCGCCGTGGCAAGGTCAAGATAGTACTGAGTGTAATCCAGCACCTGGTCGGAAAGTTACACCAATGAAGTGACAACACACTATTACCCTCAAAAAGTTTATCAAAAGAGTTGGATACATATTTTATTTGGTTTATTTTACGGTAACCAATATCATTCTATTTTTTATAATCTATAGTGACATTGATTCGTCGACATAGGTTTAACACAATTTTCCGTGAATTTCTTTACTAATGCTACATTTGATAAGTTTGTTGACACTATTTTCGTCTCAGATAAAAGATATCCAGAATGCTTGTTATACGAAGTCTAGGTTATTACCTATTTAAATAATATAATAATATTGAAAGATTGAAATGTGCTTTCCATGCTATTATTTAAATATATAACATTTTAAATTTGGATCCTTTGACAGAGAGATTAAAATGTGCTTATCTGATTTTATAATATACCGAAGGGATTTAAGAAACTAGACAGAAAATCGTAACCATACAGATTACAGCTCATTGCAGCAGTGGATTTATAACGAATCGGGTAAAGAATACTTATTCGATTTGCTTTGTCCAAAATACAAAACTATATTCAAAGTCATAAGCGTAATATTTCTTCAATTTACTTACATTATATAAAAAAAAAATATTGCGTCGCAAGAAATTCAAATGTCTTTTAAGTTTCATTTTCCTAAAAAATCCGGTAATTACTTAACTGCAAAAGAACATATTTAATCTCTTCAAACTCTGGATATTTAATTTAATTCATTAAATTAATTAATCATTCTAGAGAAAAAGTTTAATTCTACACAAAAACATTAGAAAATGTGCCTTGTACTTTAAATTTCAGGCAACTTTTTAATTTCGGATGATTAATCCCATTAAATGCAAACAAAAAATATCAAATCTTTCTTCTTTATATGAATAAAACTTTTACAAGCCACGAAATGGAAATGAATTTGCATAAACCATAAAAAGATAATATCGTATGCGTATATTAGAGACGCCTAATCTCCAGAAGAAAGAACTTAGAAATACTTTTCTCGTGTTATTAGAAACTAGTGGCCGCCAGTGACTTCGTCCGCGTTTTCCATTATTTCTTCGCTCCTTATAGTTGCATCGTGATATTATATAACCTAAAGCTTTCCTCGATAAATGGTCTATTCAACACAAAAAGAATTTTTCAATTCGAACCAGGAGTTCCTGAGATTAGCGGGTTCAAACAAACAAACTCTTCAGCTTTATAATAGTAGTATAGATAAAACAAATAAATAAATCAAGTGGTAAAAAATGTACATAAAGACCATCTTAGATTTATGGATCCGAAAATATAGTTATTGGGGTACTATATATTTTTTTTTTAATATTGCTCACCTTTCCAGTATTAGTGTCGAACTTATAGAGCCTTAAGCCAGGGTTAGATGACCCCACTGGGTCACGGTGAGGACTCACAGATGGAGCTAGTAACGCCCATGATACTGGTCGGTCTATGAAAAGAATTAATTTAATTTTATCAATAATGTTTAAGTGACAATCTAAAGACAACTATAAATAAAGGTAGAATGAAGCCTTTGTACGATTACAAAATTACATAACTTTATATTTTATATTCAGTTACACAAACGTCCATTAAAATTGTCATTAGTTTGATGTGATATTATCGATACTAATTTTCAAATTTAAAACATTCATAGAGGCTTAAAGTCGTCTTTAAATCTTTATGGATGTTAGTGCAGTCAAATTTTTAAGTATTAAACAAATGAAACTGTACCACAATCACTGAGAATCAATAAAACTAAAATCTATTAGAAGTGTAATACATACAAACTAGGAATACCAATTCTTCGGATATAGATAGAACAGGTAAAAGTAACCCGATCAAATACTAAAATAAAATTATCTTTAAATAAGTAATGCTTTGGATTATTGTATGATTTTAATTTAATTTGACTTGTATTACAATTGATTGTTGTGTTGTGAATTATTGGTGGTTGTGTTACTTAATGAATTTATTATTAATTATGTAATGACCTAATAAAATAGGCCAATTGTTTAATTTTATAAAATTGGAATGTAATTATAATTATATTCATATTGGCACGCCATTAAAAATGGCAGATTACACTGGAACATGATTTTTTGAAAAATTTCAACTTGTGTATTCTGCAAATAAATCATTATATTATTATTATCGCTACAAAGGAAGATACATGAATTCTTAAAACTCCATGAATATTTAATAATATCTCCAACTTATTTTACAAGAATATCTTAAAAAAACATTATACTGTTTCATGAAAGTAAACAATTGTGATCGCGTTCAAATTTTTGTTTTATAAACTCCTATCTGTTTTACAACTTAAACAGGTAGTTTCACAAGCAATTTGAGATCGGCTTACCGCACCGAAGCTCTCTGTTTCACTATACTATCGACTGCGTGGAAAACACGACCTTAACTACAGTAAATGCGACCTTATTTTAACGGGTGACGTGTCATTTCCTTCAGGAAAATGTTACACCACTTTCACCTGCAAAGTACTCGTGTAAGTTTCCAAATGAATGAGGCGAATCGGTTTCGCAGCAGAATCTCGCAAAAGTTTTCTAAAGTAAAAAGAAATGTGTACAAGTATTTAGGCAGGATACTCATGCTGCTGTAAATCGATTTCTAAGTGAAATAACATAATGTTAACAACTTCAGTAACACAACGTTATTTTTTTTCCTGGAATACTTGTCGATTGGTTTATTTATTTATTCAGTTTTAATTTGATTCATCTATGGATTATATCAGTAAAACACGCAATATTATGAGCATTCAAGGAATGAAGAAAATGCCAACAACCAAATTTATAGATTACAGACCAAGTTTTGTTTAAAATAAAACTCTATATTCGGGGTAAATCATTAATGAATAATAAACACTTTTTTTTGCATAATCAATAAGTTACGGCGATACATTGAGTTGAAATGCAGGATGACGTCACTCACACCTTTGTAATTTTCTACATAGTTGTGACGCAGTCAGTCCCCACTCTTCAACTTTACCTATAATACCTATTAAGACCAAATTGAAGCAAAAAAAAAACTATTATTAGACTGAGATGGATAATAGTTATTTAAGATACGAGTGCGGAAAGTAAAGTTTTACGAATAAGGGTTTTCATTGGCACGAATTCGAAAAACCTTTTACGCTCAAGTTTCTTACAACATTTTTCAATGCTTTTTGCGAGGAAATAAAACAAATATATAGGTTAATAAAAGTAAAAGTGTATTAAAGGTAAAAATTATTTGTTAAAATTAAACGTGATATTTGACCATGTTTTCGTGTCATACATTTTTATTTGAAAATATTCGTTCTAGGCTCCTTGAAATACTTTTGCCTCTAAAGTTTGACATATTTTCATCATTTTTTATTATTTCTTTGGTGCTCGGCAAAAAAAATATAAAAATACTTTTAAGCACGCGTGCAGTAAAATATTTCAGTACATTTTTATTTAACACGTGTTTAAAGACTCACTTTCGGTGTTTACAATGGATTAAAAAATAGCGCTTTATGAGCAACTGCATTGAAAAATCGATTTTTTACTCAGGCAATAAGGGCAATACCGCATCGAATCGTTAGAGTTCTGATGTCATCGTCACAAAGTACCGTAATTTGCTTTCAAGGTTTCAATATTTTGTTTTCGTTTGCCTCCTTTAATAATTGTGATTATTATTTATTTTTCTTTGCATTAAAAAAAAACAAATGACGGACTTAATGCCAAAGGTATTCTCTGCCTGTCTACCAGAATAAGATTTTGGAGTTTGGATGTTATGCGATAAGAATAAAAAAAAACAGAAGCCAAATTTAAAAAAAAATATTTCAAGTAAAAGAATTTTCTTACCGTTGTCATAAATGACGCGAAATGTGTCCGCGTGCAGATGTCCAAAGAATTGTCCAGCGATTATGCGCGCGTATCTCCGAACCGTCCGGAGATATCTTGCGTTTGCGTCTGATGACACGTCGTAGGAGTGACGCGAGTCAGACCCTGGCGCAGCATGACCTACTATATACACCTGTCAAAAAACATTTCTTTATAATAGATAGATACACTTTACACGATAATACTGCTTTGTAAACGCGATATAAATATGTTGGCTATCTTGTAACACCTAAGTTGTAATTTGTCACGAAAATCAAGAAACAAGATGAACAACAAAAATAACATATGATATTTTAAACTTTCATGTTCATATACCTACATTAGAATGATAGAATTTCTTCGGGATTGTTACTACCTGGTGTGGTAGGAAAAAGTGCACGTAACACATATAGAAAGATAGTGTAGGCATCAGGCATCGAGGATTCCGGTCAGCTTACCGATGGACTGACTTACTATATAGAATAGAGAGACATTAAGTGTATTATTGGATCAACCTAAAAATGTTTTAAGCGTGGTTTTGTTGTGTGAGTCTGTTTTATGAAAAGATATGCACATCACAACCCATCTTCATTTATAAAAAAGACGATAATTAATATGCGTCATAGATTTTAATTCTAAAAAATCAAATTACATAATTGCACCAATACATTTTTATTAATACTCACTTTATCAAATAATAAACTACTGTGCTCAGTAGAATTAGGAGTAATTAATCTGTGTCCTAAATAAAACCTTTTTTTTTTCTTTATATAATTAAATTAATTCAAATGTAATCCAACAATCCATATTTATTTATCTGTACGAAAAATCCAAAACGATGTCGTTTGAATTCCACAAGCACGAGAGATGCAAAGTGGGAAGTATTTTGAATTAAATTGTAACATCCCATTGAAAAAATGCGCAATTGCTTGCTCCAGCGATTTAGTATTCATGAAAAGACCAACGCAATCTCTCACAAAATGTTGCTTCTTCACGAATCATGTATTAGATTTGTAACATAAGAATGCATTGTTAATTCAGAATAAGGAACACGTTGGATTTCTTTCGCGCTATTGCACTGTGGACGTATTAAATTGAATTATATCCTTATTTTGCCACAGCGTAGGATATGGTTTAGTGTGATCGTTTTAATCATCTTAGTATTATTTTCTGTATTATTAATATTATTATTTATTTCTTTTTCCGTTTTTCTATACGAATATAATAAAGAGGAAAGATCATTTGTTTGTTCGCATCGAATAAGTTCCGAAACTACTGGACCGATTTAAAAAAATCGTTCACTTACGAGAAGCTAGATCATACTCGGGTGACACAGGCTTTAATTTATGCCTTCTGATACAGTTATTATTAGTATTTAAAAGGAAGCACACCCTGAAGTTTTTTATTGTCAAATGTTTGAAGGAAATAAATTTGTCACTTATTACGAGTATTATTTGATTATTAAACGGATATGTTATTTGTATCTAAGTAACGAAAACTAAAAAGTAATCAATAACATTTCGCAAAGGCCGCTTTAATTATTAAAATCACTTTTAAATATTGAAATAAACCTTAAACTGAAAATGATATTACAAAGGTTTTGTTAAAAAACCAAAATATAGAAAAAAATAAGCAGATTTTCACTTTTAATATAGATTTGCTACCAGACTAGTATATTAAAAAACCACATCACTTTGATTCTATGCCACATTTGTAAATATAACATACTGAATTCGTTTACGCTGTGTCCTTAACGACGCCTCCGCCGTTTGCTTGGTTGAATTATTACACCCTATTGAAATAATTCATAATTGTGGATTGCGGAAATTCATATCGTTCCACGGCGTACTACTAACTATATGTAAAACACAAAGCAACACAGACATGAAACTCTATTAGAGGTTGAATTAATGAGGTTCCTGATCCTGAATTTTAAAGCTTATGATGAACTGATTCAATCGTTATTCAATTGAATTCTGGTGAGACTATGACGCTGTTTTGAAAATTGTTTATTAGATTACTCCAACGCAAGTACATTTTAAACTGCGTTATAAAATATTGCAGAGACATGTAACACATTCAACGCACATTTCAAAAAAGTTTTTTAATAAGTATTTGTTATTGCGATTTCAGTAATAATAAGGTTTACCTAACGCAAGAAGCAAACCAATAACATATCATTTGAACTTTCTCGAAATTATCCAATACCGAATAATTCGATTTACTCGTTATTGGCTCTTCTCTAATATAGTCCGCCTTTAGGATGGCATCAATATCTTATTTGGTTTCCGATCTGTAAATATCTCGTTGTCAACTACTTTATTCGCATATAAAATCTGAAAAAAAAAGAATGGTATGTTGTTTGAGTTTGTTCCCTTAACCTTTGTCATACGATTGGCATAGTCATATAGTTCACCAACTTCATCAATACCTATACAGACAAGATAAAAGAAGCATAGATTGCGTGACTTCTCGCGATGTATATGAGACACGTTTTGTGTAGATGACTGTTGTGTCTTGGCTGTACTTTCTCTTTGTTTTGCTGTATTGTCTCTTTTCTGTTATTTTCAGAAAGGTTTTATATCGTATTATTTGTTTGAAAAAGTAAAAAATATTTTGTTACCTTTCGTAAATAGATTTATCCCTTCAAAAGAGTTTTACAGTTTTCACTTCTCGAATAAGTGTCGTTACATTTTGTCTCAACATATTTTTTGTATATTATATTTTAGTGATAATTTTTTGTGAAGTTTCTAAAGGAAATCTAACATTTTTGATGTAAAAAAATTATTGAATCGGGAGTACATATATATTCACATCACTAGCATAATAGTAAGTATATATTATAATTAATAAATAAACATACGAGTCATTATGTTAGTGATGTGAATATATCGGGTTGGCACAAAAGTAACGAGACACTTGGTTTAAGTTTTTACTTTTTTATTATTATTACAATAAAAAAAGTTTAGTCAATGATGTAATTACCATTAGTATCTAAGACTTCTTGCCAACAATCCGAAAAAGTTTGGATGTCTTTTTCCCAGAACTCTGATGGCTGTGCCTCGAAAAAGTTGTTCAACTTCGCCTCTACGTCAGAGAAATCATTAAATTGTTTACCCCGCAAATGCTGTTTCAGGGCTCTAAACAAATGATAGTCTGATAGGGCGAGGTCTGGGGAATAAGGTGGGTGGGGTATCGTCTCCCAGCCCAAGTTCTCCAACTGCCGGCGAACCACAGATGCGACGTGAGGTCGAGCGTTATCGTGCAGTAAAACTACATTGACTCGTCTTCGTCGTTTTTTCTTGATAGCGGCAGATAATTTGGTAAGCTGGGTTGAATATTTGTCAGCGTTTATAGTTTCATTGTGTAATAGCTCATAAAACAGTATGCCTTGCGCATCCCAGACACAGCAAAGCAGAATTTTTCGGCGGTTCTTTTGACTCGGCTTCGGTTGAGTTGGTGGCGTTTCTTCTCGAGGCAGCCAAAAAGCACGACGTGTATCGTTCTCGTAATAAATCCATGATTCATCTCCAGTAACCAGATCTGACAAAAACTCTTTACGTCGGGGTCGCAGCAAAAGTGACTGACAGATAGCGACATGGACTGCACGACTGGCGACTGTAAGGATGTGCGGTTACCCACCGAGCCAAAAATTTTCGATAACCAAGCTCATGCAGATGGTGTTCCACGGCGTGGTGACTGCATTTAAGTGCTTCCGCTAATTCACGAGTGGTAGCATCCGGATTCAACTGCAGTTCGCGGCGCAAATCGTCATCATTCACTGTGGGTGGTCGCCCTGAGCGTGGCTGACTTTCAAGGCTCCTGTCTCCTGATTTAAAACGGTCAAACCATCAGGACACCATCGCATGGCTTGTACTTCCAGCGCCTAATGCATTGTTGATATTGTCAGCCGCAGCCCGCGCACTGTGGCCTAACAAGTACTCGTATAAGTATAGTGTTCGAACTTGTCGCTCGTCCATTTTCTTCTAACTGACTAAACAAATCGCGAGCGCGACTTTATATACCCTACACCAGAAGTACCTAGAATGTTCTACAACATTCTAGAATATTATCGAAAAAATTGATTTTAAAAAGGAAATGTTATAGATTTTTCTAGTGTGTCTCATTACTTTTGTGCCAACCAAATATATGTTCTCCCAATTCGATCATTTCACTAACATTATATATTCCTAATTTCATTACCTTAATTAATGTTTTTGCCAGTCCTTCTATAGTAATGATTTAACCTTTTTCGTTGAGGTACTATGTAATATATTTAAACGTCTTTCCATACTACGTCTATTCAAAGCGAGTTCTGGATGTAATATTCATTCGATCGACCTTTTTAAAATTTACTTTTCCCTGCAATTTCGAGGAGGCGATTAGATTAACGAGTTTCTAATCTGTAATTTATTAGGGCGCCGGCGCCGGACATCCTTGGCTCCGTTCCGCAACGTAGTTATGTGGCTGGCCAACGTATAAGTGGGATTTTAAAACTATTTTTTTTTATTTCATATTCATGTATTGTTATTTCTCAATTTATACTATAGTTTCTTTGAAATAATTGTGCGTTTTCAGTTAAATTTAGATATTAAAAACTGAAGCCACCTTAATTCTATTCTTTTTTTTTGTATTAAACGAAATTGTCTATTTTTTTTTTGTATTAAACGAAATGAAAATGATTATATAAAACGGCTTAGTGAGTTTAATAATTGCGAAATACTCAATCGACACCAGTTTCGGGATTAGTAGATGTAACTCTAGTATTAATAGGTAGAATTGCGTCTTATTAATGTTAAAATTGTAAGAAATGGATAATCGTAATTTATACTCGTGTCACAACAGTGCGCCAGTCATTACGTTTACTTTTATTGTTCCTAAAATATAGTTTACTTACTAAGAAAAGTCCAGAAAGTTTCATCGTATAAAAATAAAAAATAAAAAAAATTCAAACAGTAGTTTCAGAGATAAGGGGGTTAATTTGTTTATTAAACTATTTATTGCAAAATTATAAATGAACACAATAATCCCTCTTATTTGATATGGCGTATAAAAAATAGCCTTCCTCGTTTTAATTTCCCATGTAACCCCTAATAAGCCACCATGTTTCACGTTACTCTTGCCAAATAAATAAATTCGATTGAATTAGTCCAG